TGTGGCAAGAAGATTTAGACTCATAACAGAGAAATCTTTTCTTTAAAAAGATTGCATTTTATATTTAAGCTTTGGCAAATCTGATAAAAACCTGTTAGGCTCCAAAAATCTGGAACAATTCTGTAATAAAGGAGATATGCTAAGAAAGTGGAAGACACACTTCTGATCTCATGCTATAAAATTCAGTGGAGTAACAGACCTGAAACTTTGTGAAATGAGGATCAGACTTGAGGTTTTCATGGATGATGTGGTTATTATATTCTGCCCTTGCTATGTGTGGTTTGACTTTTCAGCAGTGCTTACTGGAACTATGGCATATTTATGTAGAAAGAGAATATCCAGAACATCCTAGTCATGCGTACACGTGACTCCCATATATATATTATCTTTTCCTGTGATATCTAATCTAATCTGATACACCTTAAACTCAGAGGATTCAAAAATAAACAGGAACAAACACACTGAAGATATGCCTTGTATCTCCAAGCTTCACATATCCCAAAGTACTTGACCAAACTTTCTCTAATTAGTATAATTATACTACTGATATAGAATAGTATCAGTTACATGTAAGAGTTGGCATCTCTTTGCAAAATTGACCTCTTGTTTACAATTTTATACTAATCACCTTACTGATCTTTCAGTATAGAATTTATTTGCTTTTGCAGTGCCCTACTCTCTACTGTCTGAATATTAAATGTGTTTGTTTTCCCAGAGGGCTAGAGAACATTGGACAAAAGGGTTCAGCAGGAGAGAGTGAAATAAAAAGAGGTTGTGAGTCTTTAACCTTGAGCCTGAAATGAATGTGAACCAAACTCAAGATACTTGGCTTATAAGAAGCCAGGTAAACATTCGAGTATAAGCCCACATGCTACCAACCATAACAGATGTGCAGATGATAAAGAGGCTTTGTGTATTTTGCCTATATTGTTGTATTTAAGAGCGAGATTCTGAACTTCATCTTTTCTTCTGATGGGGAAAAAAATGTAGTATCTAAATTTCTATTTCCTTTATTTTTCTTGCCTAATGCAGTATAATAAGTATAACTGTCAAGGTGGGATGAAACTCAAGTTTTTTCTATTACAGCTACAGAGAAGAAAGAAGTGGAAACTTAGAGCCATGTCAAAAATGTCCTGAATTGTTGTTCCCACAGTCTTTTGTTTAAAAGCAGTTCATTTTTTTCTGTTGTCTCCATTACTGTGAGAAAAGGGAGCTGTATCACACTGTTTGTCTTCCCTTGGCATTGTCAGCATCATAAAGAAACCTCATTTACATGAGCTTCACATAGTTCATAAAAAAACATGTTCTCGGTTCTATCCATCATGGGTATGTCCCTGCTTTTACATGCTGTACAACCATAACATTTTTTGAAGTTCATCAGCTATAATATATCTTTAAAAAAAGAAATTATCACACTATGTGGGCTTTGCTTCAGTAGAGCCTCTAAACATTTCAACATTAGATATTACTTCAAATAACCTTGAACTTCATTAAGCATGGATTAACAGAATTTGTTGCTGTTGGGCCATGTAACTCTGGGTAAGCAGTATCTTTTCAGTTCTTAGCTTAAATAGGGTATTGTTACTGCATTTAAATTAAAATGCCAACTTTGTATTCAAGGTGGCAAACCCCGAATATGTATGGAAAAACCTCTACACCACTCTAAAACTGTAGAGAGATGTTAAGAAGGCAGTTTTCTACAGATCCTTAGAGAAGAAAACTAGCTAGCTTTATATAATCTCAGCTTCAGGGATTTGCCCAAATTTTGCACTTATGTTACAGTTGCATTCAGCAGATCGGTTACTTACATATCAGTAGTTATAAAAAAGTTTTAAACTATTATTTTTTACCAAAAAATCACTATGAGCATATAGAATCTTTGCCCATCATGTCTAAATGTTCCTGCAAGATCTCCACACAAAGTGATGCAACTGCTAGCTGATCATACATTCTGAAATTATGTATCTTCAGACTGCTGTGTAAACACATCTAGTCTAAGCAAAAGATGTTGCTGTAGTCTTTTCTTTCAGTGGTTCTTCAGCAGTCCCAGCGGAGTACTGAATTCAAGCCATGGTGGGCAGGTTTTCATACCTTGTTTTCAAACACAGTCTGATTCTGTAGGTTTCCCCCAGCTACGGATGATACCAGCAAGCTACTTAGATTGACTGAAAGCTTGGTATTAAATGTAAATTAGATTCCAAGTCTTGGAAGTAAATGCAGTATAGATGCACAGTTAAAATCCATACTTGCCCTGTAGTATCATTTTCTGAGTCAGCTTCTGCAATTTTATTAAGCAGACTACCAGTGGCTTCAGTGGTTGTTTCTTACTGCAGAATTTGCAGTCTCACTGTATGAAACTAAATTCCTCACTTGCTAGCCTGCAAAGGCTTAAACCCACGGCCTTTGTGGCCTGAAGAAAAGCTTTACTTTTATTGAATCCTACAAAATCTCCACCAGTGTAACATAATAATCCAAGCCTGTATTTTTAAAGTGAAAATTTAATGTACTTTTATTTAAAAGAATCTAGCTGGCAAATAGAACCTAAATCTATATAATAAAATGTGGAGATATTCAAGAGAATTAAGGATTCTGTTTAATCAGATATGGTGAAAAGCTGCAACTGAATGAGATGATTGCTATTTTTATCCAGAGAGCAGAAATAATAGGTAGCTTTGCAGCAAATACCCCTGCATCAGCCCGTATTATAAAGTGGGCATGTCACAGAGCAGTTCCCTGATTTCAAATAGGGCAACTTGGTAATGCCTCAAAGATTGCTTTGGCAAACATACTATCGTATCATTGTTTAGACAAACTACTTTGCACTTTCAAAGAGAAGACAGAAAGGTCTAGGTAATGAGGGAATTAGTATGTCAACTCATAGGAATAAGAGTTCAAATCCCATATATTTAGTAATGCAAATTAATCTCTTGTTGGTTCACTACAGAACCATCACAGAGCAGAGCACGACTCAAAGAGATTCAACTTGCATAAAGCCCCAATTTGTAATTCCAGGTGCTCCCTCAAACAGATGTTATATACACTGTAGATAGCACTGCACAAACCTTGCTCTTCTATGCCCCTCTTGTCTTGCACCTGCTAACCTCCTGAAATCTACTATCCCAGACCTGCACAGACTGTTCTCTACCGTGTTAGTTTTCCTATTTGGAACATAAGTAGTCACGTGAACCTGCTTTTTGTATTGTGCCCTATCCTACCAAATGCATTAATACAGAGAAAGGGATTTATTTGGACTGACCAAAGGCCATGCATTTGAAGATGGCTTAGGATTTTTGAAAGATGATGAACATTCAAATGTAAAGAAAACAAAGGACAGAGTTCAAAGATCAAATTATAAGTCAGCCTCTTTCTCAAATCTGCTGATATTCTGTACGACTTGGTCAGCCTGATCCTGCAGCTGTAACAATGTGAGCCTGTAACTATTAAACCAATCTGCTCATTTAAGGGGAAAATAAAACTATACGAATTAGTGACATATTAAACCAACCAATAATGTGCAGCATATCCACATGTAAAATGACACACATACCTACCACCAACCATTTCAAATGTGCTTGGAAAAGCTTTCACAATGCCTGCTTGCACCTTTTCTGCCTCTGCCTGTGTTTTGGTTTTCCCTTTAAGAAATGCTAAAAATTCACTCATGAACTACATGGAAGTAGAAGGATAGAACTCATACTTAGTCATAAAACATTTGCCAACAGATCACGTTTTTGCCATTCTGTTTTTTCCTCTCTGCCCCCCCACTCCTTTGCAAGCAGTTATGTTTTTTCAGTAGTAACACATAGCACAACCCTTCACGTCTCTTCAGAACTGTAGGTCACTGGGATACGGACTGCATCCCTCCCTTTGCCCACCCACAGAGCACTAGTGTCCCCACTCTGCCATGCCCCTCACTGCTCCTTTCATTTCTTACCGAGAAAGCAATTTGCACTGTTGTTCACAGTCCAATGGGCTGAGCCTCGTAGTTTATTTTCACCTGTGTTCTTATTGTCAGGTGGTTAACAACATTACATTTATCCTGGCAGAAGTCTGCTGACCTAGTTTAAAGACTGCATATATGGCATCAATTGTGTCACTTTCAGCTTTTAACTTTACAAAGAGTACTGCGACTGAGACACAGAAAATGAAAGAGCTTGCTGTTTAACAACGCAATTCAATTCAACCCAACAATCAATACATTACTTTATTATGTTTTCTATATATTAAAAAGTTAAATGGCTAGAACAGTGGGTCTATACTCGAGTGTTTACCTCACATATGCATGAAGGAAAAAAAAAAGTTGGTTCAACAATACAATGTTCACATTATCCAGGCTTCCAAGTGTAGTTGTTGTGTGCAAGTTATCTCTGTGGTAACTGTGATTTTTTTTTTTCCCTGTGGTAGCATGATTATGCTTAGTATTTTGTCTGCTTGGCTTTTTGTGCTCTTGGCTGCATTCATTTAGATTTTGCTTTGAAACATTGGTATTACTTATAATTTTCACACTTGGCTCCTATGTGTCTCATACGTACCCATCCAACTGTGTCTGTGTTTTGTGCTTTTCTGTTTGTGGAGTGTGATTTGTTATATGTAATGTTTTATAACAAAACAAAAGAGACTTTTTTTAAATAAAAAAGCCTTCCTACTTACTCACTGCAAAACTATCAACATGCATGATTTTACATTTGCATTACAATTAACATGGCTTGTCTTTTACTAGGGATGTACCACACGAGTGGACGTTCGCTTTCTTTAACCAGTACTTCCCATCAGTTCTTTGATGGCTTTAAACTTGATTTATTTTAATATTGCAGTTGATACAGATATTCAAAATGCACATTACTGAGCCACTCGTTTATGCATATAACATCCAGAGACTATGGACTTCAGCTGCCTGCACTGCCCTAACCATATGCTACATTTTTCACAAAGTATTCTCTAACACATTTTGGCCCCTTAAAGGTGTGAGCTCTGACACCTCTTTCCTTTTCTCCCCCTAGATCCGCGTCGTGAAGGCATTCCGTAGCTCTCTCTATGAAGGTTTAGAAAAACCAGAATCTAGAACCTCTATTCACAACTTTATGACTCATCCTGAGTTTAGGATAGAAGATTCCCAGCCCCACATCCCACTCATTGATGACACAGACCTAGAAGAAGACCCTGCTCTCAAGAAAAACTCGAGTCCACCGTCTTCACTGAACAAGAACAACAGTGCTATCGACAGTGGAATAAATCTTACAACTGACACAAGTAAATCAGCTACCTCTTCTAGTCCAGGAAGCCCAATACATAGCCTGGAGACATCACTTTAGCTGAAAAGGAAAATGAAAAAAAAAAAAAAAAAAAAAAAAAAAAAAAAAAAAAATTATAATAATAATAATTAAAGTAAAATAAAATAAAATAAACAACCACAGCAACCGAAATCTATAAATATATATATTAAAAAACATTGCTGGCTGAAAAGCTGTTTGAACTCTTATTCACTCTGAGACAAGTGAATGAATTGTTAATCACAATGGTTTTGGGGAAAGAATGAATGGCTGATTTACATACCCCCCTTCTTGTTCCCTTTCAGAAAACAAAACAAACAAACAAAAATCCTGCATGAATGTACTGTACACTTCTGGCCCTTCTTTCTTTCTTTTTCTTCCTTTTTTTAATTTTTATTTTTATTTTTTCCTCCTTAAGCAGGAACTGCAGAGGACTTCTTTCTGCGGCTATTTATCCAATTCACTGGTCTGTGAGTTTTTTGAAATGCTTGTGTGGCATGGACTCAATTGTATAGATTAATTTAAAGAACTTTTTTGAAGTTGCAAAGCTTAACTTGCACAGTAGATTTGCACCAGTTGGACAGAGGAACTTAAACATTTATGAGACTATATATAGAGATATATACATATAAGTATATACATAATTAATTATATATATGTATATATCTATATATATATATACAGTTATATATATATAAAGTTTCTTTGTTGGCATGTTGCCTTGTTTCTGCTCAAATTGCTCTGACTATTTTAACTTATTTATGTCCTAAAAAAGAATGTAATTTGTTTACAAACCTGTAGATAATATCCTTAACTATTTGTAGGGTTAAGAAAGCACTTCCTGCCGAAGTAGTATAAAAATGGCTCAGCTCAGCTCATTGAAAAGTCTGTAATATCGCACCCTGGATATTTTATTGCAACTGCATTCTGATTTCTGCCTGTTTTTTTGTTGTTGTTTTGGGTTTTTCTTTTTCTTTTTTTTTTTTTTTTTTTTTTTTTTTGTTAAATATTGTAGATATTGCTAGTAAATAACGAAAGAAGCCAAAATATAATAACACATTGGATGTAGCATTGTGATCCTATATACAGGGAGGTAAAACAGGCTTCCTTTGTTTCAAATAAAAATCAGAATGATCAGGTTCTCTCTTTTTTTTTTTTCCCTCTGATAATCTGCTTGAATTTGTTTTGGTGCAACATTTGAAAATGGAGGCTATTTCATTCTTGAAACATATGGCAATGGCTTCCAAAAAATATTTTTAGACAGATAATATGTGAAACTGAGTTGAGTTTATAAATAACAGATTTAAAATAAGTTATATCTGGTTTGTCTATATGGAGATCAAACTAATGTTTAAATATTGTGACATATTGTGTTAATTCTTTTCAGTTAGTAATATAGGCATTTATTTCCTTATTACTTATGAAGTACAGGCTGTTGGCATTTTGGATGAAAATCACTGTAGGTTGTTGCTTTGATTTTTTTTTTTTAATGGAAAATATCATTTCTGCACTATTAGATCTGAATGAAACGATATTAACTGTATATTGAGATATTCTTTGTGTGATTTTATTTTTAAAGAAGCTTGTCTTCCTGTAGTCACAAAGTATACTGTAACACAGTACACTGTTTTACCTTGAGCTTTCTACAAAGAAAGCTACTGTGAAAACCTGCAGTAAGGAGGGTGAAAAATATTTTTCAAGATGGTAACAGCCCTAATAACTTAAAATTTATGAGCTTATATAATTGCTATGTCAACCACTTGAACGCTAAGCACTTTGTGGATCACAGATTTTTCATAAATAATTTTTGTATTTAATATAAAGTTTGCTTGGAGACTTTTCAGCATATAATCTTTTCCATAATTGTACAGTGCAAAAGATATTTTGAATTACACCACTGATTATGCCAGATGTATTGAAAAACTCTCAAACTAGCTTGACAAATTGATTTGTTAAGGTATTACTGATTGTCCTAAGGTTGGCTAATAACATGGTGCATCTCTGCAGTCACAAGAACTAAACCAAGCCAGAACTCTCCTAAACGGGATTAGACTCATGGCCAAACTGCAGACTGAACTGACTAAAACGTTTTCAGGGTGCATCAAGACTATTCAGCCAGGTAAAGCTCAAATCAGCTTGAATTGCCAGCTTCCGGACTCTTGTGTAGAAGCTTGAATGTTTTTGGCTCAAACTCGTAGTTCGCTATCTGATCCAAACTTTTCATTCAACAGCAGAACAGGTCGTGGGAGGTGTATACAAATGTTTTCAGCAGATAGTGTTACCCGTTTCTTAACAGTAAAAAGCTAGCATGGAAGCATTATTATTTTAGCTAATTCCTAGCAACAAAGTGATTGAAACTCAGTCAGGATTGTTCTTCGCTTTGTAAATACGGTGACTTACCTTTGTATAACATGTATTGGGTTTCTATGGCCTATTTGGGATATCATATTCAGAAGAAAAAAACAAAAAAAGTGTTATCTATTTACAGGGAAGCCTCTAGCTTTGGACTTGAACATCTACAAAAGTTATTAATACTGGAACAACTTGTTTTCAGCATCTTAACACTGACTGTTTGCCTTTTTATTTTCAAACTTCATATTTTTTCTTGGTTTCATTTTTTTTTAAATTTTCCTGTAGGAGTATCCCTCCCTAAGGTACCATTTGCAGACTTGAAAACTGTTAAGAAAATGAACACTGCGTTCTGTGTATATATAGTAAAACATATATAAACTGAGATGCATAGATAACTTGGGCTTTTGTGAGCAGAGACTGTGCTTTATGTATATGATAAATGATAGATTTTTTTTAAAGCAGAATAGCTATGACCTTTCAACTACAAGTCGTGCATCACAATTCCTTTCTTTTATTGCTTGACCTCTCTGTGATGGGAACAATGGATCAAAAACCAAAATGATCAGTTTGTTAAATTCCCTGCAATATATAAATGCTCGCTCTCAACGTACTGTACTTAGCAGCATGAGATTTGTGGACAACAATACAGTGGTACATTGGCAATCCATCCCACTAGGGGTTATTAATATATGTTCATTCATCTGTTTTTATGAATTTTTTTATCTAGACAATAATTGTAAATAAAGAACTTACTCTGTCTGTTCATTTAATACTATGCAAAAGGTTATGCTTTCTATTGTTATTCTTATTCCTACAGTGTGATGCTGGAATGTTTGTGGTTTCAAAACAAAAAAAAAACAACAAAAAAAAAAAGACAAAAGTAAGTAAAATATGTGATGTAAATTATTTTATAGTTTGAAACAAAATGATAAAGTTTTACTCTTGCTGCTTACTGTCTTATAGATCTCTCTTGGCAGGAGCACAAGTGGAAAATTTAAAGAAATAAATTCACAAAGCAGCATGAACAATAATGGTCTGAACGTAACAGCTTTCTTTGTTGTCACCTGAAGTTATTAAATCCAGCTTTGGATTCCCACTGGCACAATGTAAACATGTATGTACCTGCTCTGGATTGGCACTATGAAGCCTGCTTACCACTCAGAGGTTGCATTGGCTCCCATAGGCTTTCCTTACGCCCAGTTGCTAAGTCAGCCCGCAGTGCTTTTGTACCTGACTTGGAGTCAGTGAAACAAAGCTGTGGTGGTGCACTGTGGTGGGAATGGCTGATGTGAATGCTGTAGTGAACTTAGCTGAAATGAGTAAGTACAGAATAAGACAGGTGATGAAAATAAGACAAATGAAGGCCCTGCCATTTTGTGTATGAATGTTAGTTCAATGTTGGTCCTCAGATGAGCATCTAAGTCTATATTCCTATCACTTTGGCCCACTGACATATCCCTCTACTGATACTATTTTCTGCATCTCTTTCCCTCTCTGTCGCTATCAGAAAAAGGATCGAAGCCTTCTAGAACCGGGGAGTTAAGTCCAGCAGTCATGTCCTGCCAGACAAGACCTGCCCTAAAATCTCTACATACGCAATGCAGGGGAAAAATGAGGGATTTCCAGTTTTGCTTCTCAGACCCTCAGCCCAGAATTTCTACATCTTGAAGTGTAGAAGAAAGAGAACTGGGATTGTTCAGTGTTTTAAACAAATACATACATACGTTAAGCTTCTGCCAGTTTCAGAGATCTGTTTTAGCAATTGCACCTTTTCAAGAGTGTTTGCAACACGTTTTTTGCATTGCATGGAAGTGAGTTGTAAATTCAGGAGAATATGAAGGAGGAAATTCCTCACTATTCTAACTTCTTTCCCTCTGCACCAAACTGAAGATTCAGAAAGGCACATAACTTACCAGTCCATCACAGGGAACTCACATCCTTCAAAGTAAGGACGCAGGTTTTATTCTTGCTGTTCTTTTACGCATGCTAAGTATTCTGCTAGGAAGACAATGAGGGAAGTCATACACTCACAGATGATAGAAAATCAGGTACTGACCATGCATGCTGATGCTACACTGAGTGCTGCTGCGTGAGATGGGCTGGAGGAAATGGTTCCTAAGTAATGGACGAAGGAGAAGCAAAAAGAACAGTAAGGAGAAAGGAGAAAGAAATGCAGGTGCATTTATACTTCCCTATACACTGAAGTAAAATTCTAAGTGGTTATTATTAGTTTGATTGAGGCATTGAGTTCTAATCCAGCAGATACTCAAGTAGTGTTCTCTGTCTTTTCCAGCTGAAGTCTTAACCAGAATCTTAAGACTTCATGTCCAGTGAATAGGCTGAGGTTGCCACAGTGAGGTTCAGGCATCCAGATGCAAAATCCTGATCTAAAAAACTCTTGCTCAGCTATTACCCGTAACATATGATCTGACCAGAAGATTGACCAGAAGAAGGAAATTATCTCTGTCATTGTCTTCCAAATTATTTTTTTCAATGATTCTCTGGTACGAAATAAATGTCACAACTTGTGGTACTGGTTAACTTCAAAGCTAGGCACTAACATAGGCTGTGGGAAGGTTGGGGTTCAACACTTCACATTTCCACTTGGTCTTACGGTATTACTGTAAGTGCTTTCGAGAAACCACACAAAGGTAAGCAGCAGACATTTCTTACTTATATTTGTATTCCTGCAGCAGTGG